CTTAAAACGTGGCTAGTTCAAATTGAGATGTGTTGAAAGTATAAAATACACATTGGACTTCAAAGATTTAGTACAAAAAAAAGTAAAATATCTTAGTAATTTTTATACTGATTGTTTAAATAAAAATATTGTGGATATATTAGGTTAAATAAAATATGGCTACTAGAAAATTTGAAATTACACATGTGGCTCAGGTTTGTGATATCCCATTATACTTATTTTGTAAAAAATATATCCTTATTGATTTCAGAGAGGGAGAGGGAGAGATAGAAACATCAATGATGAGAGAGAATCACTGATTGGGCTGCCTCCTCACCCCCTACTAGGTATCCAGCCTGCAACCCAGGCACATGGCCAGGCCATTATACTTACTTTATTTTTTAAATATATTTTATTGATTTTTTTACAGGGAGGAAGGGAGAGGGATAGAGAGAAACATCGATGAGAGAGAAACATCAATCAGCTGCCTCCTGCACACCTCCTACTGGGGATGTGCCCACAACCAAGGTACATGCCCTTGGCCGGAATCGAACCTGGGACCTTTCAGTCCACAGGCCAAAGCTCTATCCACTGAGCAACCGGTTAGGGCCATTATACTTATTTTAAATAGGACTATTATGGTGGGGCTTTGTAGTGCAGTTTGTTTTCTTTGTGTGTTTTTTCGTTGTGGTGGTGGGGGCGTTTTGTTTTTCCCGAGTGGGGAGAAGAGAAATATTATATTTGACTTGGGGGCATTTGGATTTTAGTGGCCACCTGTCTCCTTTAGATGGTATTTGAGCTGCAAGGGCTCTTTGGAGATAATAGAGATACAATTTCCTCTCTGTAAAGATGGGGAAACTGAGGCCCTCAGAGGTCATGATAGCAGAACAGATGCCTCCCCCATCCCAGGAGCTTTGTCAGAACCTGCCACCACCTGGTGGTCTGACTGCAGCAAGCTCCTGCAGCAGCTGGGCGAGCTTCAGGAGCAGCACTCTGCTGCCACCTACTGCCCAACCCTCTGCAGAGACACAGGACAGGGAAGATCCTCCTCTTCCTCCGCCTTCGCCCCCGCCCCCTTGCCAGCCTCACTGCACTGAATTCCATGCAACCTGTCAGAGGTATGACAGAGCAGTGATTGCTGGCATAATCTGTGGTTACAGACAAACGCAGGTGTGAATCTCAGCTCTGCCTGTTTCTAGCTATGTGTCCCAGGACAAGTCACGTAACTTCTCTGACATTTTCCACCTTTGTAAAATGTGGATAACAGTACTTACCTCAAAGAAATTAAAATAAATGCCTGAGATTTGAGTCAACAAATATTTACAGAGCGCTATAACTTACACACTGTTACCAGTGCCAAGATGCAGCAGTGACCTAAACAGACAAGTCCAGTGGTTCTCAAAGTGTGGCCTCCAGACCAGACATCAGCACTACCTAGGAACTTGTTAGAAAGGCAAATCCTCAGGCCTCCGTGCCATATCTACCGAATCTGAGGCTGATGCATCCTCAAGGTTGAGAACCACTGGACACAGAGACATATATCAGGTGGGCTCAGTGTTATGAATATCACACCTCTGGGCAAAGGTCTTTTGACCCTCCTGGACGACAGAAAGCCACATCATCACAAAGTTCAATGAAGGTGAACAAGCAGAAACAGCTGGCAAGACCTCAAATGTAGATGGTTTTCTCTAGAGATTTGCTTTTGTTTCTGCCAAGAGCCCAGGAACACTCCTACCTGGGACATTAGCCCAGAAATCTGAGGATTTTGTTTACCTTGGAGCTGGGAACAAAGCTTAAGTTTAACCTCCTGGCCTTGATTCTTGTATCTGCCCTAATGGCTACCCCAGCCTTTGCCTATAGCTCTCTGTTCCCTAACCCATTTCATCTTGGTGTCCTTTTCTTCCTCATTTCTTTAATGCTTTGGGGGGTTTCTTTACTTCTTTGGAGCCCAAGAACACGTCTGTTTTAATTTATCCAGTATCTAGAAAGGAACTTCAAACAATCTAGTTAACTACAGAAGATGGAAGCCCATTCATCCATTCTTTCAATGATTCATCAAACCCAAACTTTGCAGACTGGGTTGGTGCTGGGGCAGCAGACAATAAACAAGACATTCTCCCTGTCCTCTCAGAGTTCACAGGTTAGGGAAATGGGCTATTAGGACAGAGGGTGACCAGTAGTGCCATGCAGGCGTATGGATGCTGTGGGAATTCAGTGGAGAAGCACCTTGAGCGGCAACCAGAAAAAGACAACTTTGGAAGTGATAAAAACTGATTCTAGCCAATAAGCAGAAGGCAGGGAGGCCAAGCGGGGGAAGCAGATACTAAGAACCAAGCTGGGAGGAAGAAATCATGAAGACATGGAGAACTGGAAAAGTGAAAGAACTAGCTTGGTTTGGGCAAAGAGGATAAAGAGTAGGGTAGGGCCAGATAAAACACTGCCAATTTGTGCAAGAGATCCGATTCTAGAGTGAAGACAATAGGGTGGGGCAGTGATAAAAATAGCTGCGATGGAGTGATACGATCCAATTAGTTTTAGATCACCCAGCTGCAGGGGGGTCTAGGATAGGCAGGAGTCAGGGGAGACCAAGAGACTTGTTAGGAGAGTGTTGTAGCTCAGGTAAGCGGGAAGAGCCAGAAGTTGGGGCCATCTCTCAGGACCTGGTTGGGTTGCAGTTACAGCCAGTGGCATCAGGTTCACCTACCAAAGTTGGGATTCCATGGTCTGCAATCTCAGGTGGCCAACAGCTCAGTTCTGCCTTGCCCGCCTCAGTGGCCAATAGGCTGCTACATCCCAATTTGAGCTGCAGAAATTAGCTCACCTTAAAAACAAAACCCTGAAAGGAACTGCTTTAAAGACCTGGCTGACTGCATCCCTGGTTACCAAGGAACAGCAGGCCAAGTTGCAAAGTCCCATCACAGGAAATAAAAAGAATGCTCCAGCAACCACCAGCATTTTTCCACTAGGATCCAGCCAGCTGTCATTCATGCTGCTTGGCAGAAGAACTGAACATGCATAAGAATAGCAGCTTCTTTTTCAGTGCCAGGCACTGCGCTAAATACTTTAATCTTATTTAATTCTTGTGATACCGTATGAGGCAGCCATTATCATGGGAATTTTCACTAATGGCTGAGAGGTCAAGTTAACTTGCCTGAAAGTTACGAGTCCGAGGCTGAGGAACTAGGATTTTCATCCAGGCATGTCCACCTCTTGAGGGTCTGTGCACCACATCCTGCCTCAGAAACCAGCTGACAGTAGGAAAGCACCCTTTTTTTCCCTGTTTATTTTAGGATTACTTTAAATTTACCCCAAAGTGGAGTTTCTATATACCACTCATCCAGTTTCCTCTAATGTTAACATCTTGTTACCATGTACACTTGTCAAAATCAAGAGCCTACTAACTGGACTCCAGTCCTTATTTATGTATTTCAAAAATGTTTTGTTTTTTTTTTTGAGAGGGAGAGGTACATCAAACGAGAAACATCAATCGGCTGCCTCCTGCACACGCCCTACTGGGGACCAAACCCCAACCTGGGTATGTACCTGACCTTTCTTTGCATGGGATGTGCTCAACAACTGAGCCACTCCAGCCAGGGCTAGATTTTTTTTTTTTTACATGAATGCCCTCTTTCTGGTCCAGGATCCACTGTATTGTTATGTCTCCTTAAGCTCCTCTGCTCTTCTCTGTACTTATTTTTCATGACTTTTGACAATTTTAGTTTGGTAGAATGTCCTCGAATTGGGTTATGGGTTTTCAGAAATATTGCAGAGATGAAGTGTTCTCATCATATCAACGTGATTTATCACAAATACTGTCAACTCCAATAGTTTGATTAAGGTCTCTCCAGAGCAAAGTTAGCATTTTCCCTCTTCCAGGTTCTATTCTCTGGAAAAGGAGTCACCAAGTACAGCCCACATTCAATGGGAGGAAAAATTAAGTTCCATTTACAGGAAAGAGGAATATCTGTATTATTTGGAATTTTTAGATTTGTAACTTCATTTACTAAAATCACATTAGCATGGGTTCATTTTATACTTTGGGTAGTAATCACATTTATTTTTAAGATTTAGAAAATCCAAAAAGGTTGACTTGTTCATTAAGGTACGTTGGTAGGAGCCATGGCTAGACCATGGCTCTTCCAAGTGGGAAGTTGTGAAGAATGTGACCTGTGTGTCCGACAATGGGATATTTTTCAGCAATAAAAAAGAAGTCCCGATGAACCTTGAAAACATGTCTTCCCTACCTCTTCCAATAACCCATTGGTTTAACAATCACCATCACAGGGCCCTATGACAATCCCTTGCAGAACACTCAGTACCATCTGGCACTACTGGGTCCTTGGAGCTGGATACAAGCTTCCGGAAGGCAAAACTTTTCTCTCTCATTGCTGATGAAAATAGGGCTTTGGTGTGTATTTGTGGAGTGACTGAATCTTTATGTACTGATGTGGAACAATCTCCAAGATCTGCCAAGTGAGAAAACGCAAGATGCAATAGAGCGAGCTACCAATTTTGCACATAAGGTATGGGAGGGCGAGTCTACACCCACACGTGTTTATATATGGCTCAGTCTGGAAGGCTCCTCTTCTGCTCAGGCTACACTTGGCTCAACAGTTTCCACTCCGGTTTTTTAAGGGCCGTTTTTGGAACCAAGATCGCCACCTCTAAACAAGGTCTCCAAGGACTTCATCTGCTTTAGGTGACAGATAATAATGCCCAAGCAGAGTACAAAAGACTCAACTGCAGCACCAACATCTCCCCACCTCTTAGGTGCATCCTCCCAGGAAGCCAGTTCGCAGAACGCAGGCTCACCCACTGTCCCATGAAGGGGCTGAATCAAACCCTCCTGTGTTCCTGTGTGATAGGTTATGTCCTCTGAAGCAGTATTTATTTACCTGCTGATTTAGCTCTGTACCTGTGATCTCAAGTCAGCCCCACACCCTGGTTAAATGCAGATAGAGAAAAGAATTAAACTTCCCTGAGGTGTGGACCCAACATGAAGGAGACCACTGGAGTCAAAATAGCGGTCACAAAGGCAATTTATTAACAGAAAATAATTTGAGGAGTCCTGTTCACAGACGGCGACCACGGCGACCCCCCTTTCTGCGGGTGCTGTCGGAGGGGATGGGAGTGACATCCTCTGTGGGGAGGAACAGAAAACATCATTGCCTAGAGCTGAATGGGAAGAAGTCCAGGCCTCTCTAGGCCAGTGCTGTAATGGATCAGTAGTGGATCCTGCTGCTCCCCAATGAGTCCTCAGTATATAACAGATGGCCATGGAGCTGCCTCATCCTCAAAATTTCTGAAGTGGTTTGATCTCACTTTCGAGAAACAGAAGCTGAGGCTCAGAAAGGGTACACAACTTGCAGAGGCTGTCAGAAGCAGGCGGCAAAATCCAGGTTCTTGACACCTAGCCCAGTGTAACTGAAGACTATCTCCTTTTCATTAGGTAAAAGGTTGAAAATATTCAGGGGGGAAAAAATTTTAAAGAGAAGGCTGGACTGAGGAATCAGTACACATTGCCATCAAGTGCACAGAAACAATACAGAAGGGCTAACACGTATGGCTACACAAATGTAGGGAACTTGCTGGGATTCTCAACCATGGGAATTGCTGCCCTCTGCATTCATTTTTGTCACAATCACTGGTATGTCCTACTGATAGTTACAGGCATACCCTGGAGATATTGCAGGTTTAGTTCCAGATGACTCCAATAAAGTGAGTCACACAATTTTTTTTGTTTTCCCAGTCCCTATGTTTACACTATACCGTAAGTGTGCAGCAGCATTGTCTAAAAAAAAAATGTACATACCTCAAAAACTGTATTATTGCTAAAAAATGCTAACCATCAGATGAGACTGTTGTAGAAATGGCACTGATATACTTGCTTAATGCAGGGTTGCCAAAAACCTTTAATTTGTACAAAACACATCCATGAAGCATAATAAAGTGAAGTACAATAAAGGAAGTTTTGCCTGTAGTAGGCAAGGACCACACAGGAGGCAGCCCACACAAAATGCCAGTAGTAACCCCCTTGAGAACACTGTAAAGACAAGGATAATTCCTCTCCTCTTAGTTCCACCAGCCACTGTCAGTCAGAGGTTCAGAGATTTATCACGTGGCACTTCACGCTCTGCATTAACAAACCTAACTGCCAACAGTTATCATACCAAGCCCTATATCCATTGGGCACACCATATGCTTTCTGGAGTCAATGCTTCAAAGCATATCCAAGCATTAGCTCCAGGAGGGCACTTACCAATCCGTCCGATCTTCATTCCCGAGCGGGCAAGGGCTCTTAGAGCTGACTGGGCCCCTGGTCCAGGGGTCTTGGTCCTAGGAAATGAAGATCTAGTCATTCAGGATTCTAAGATCTCACAACCCTCTAGTTCAGAGACCTGCAAATTTTCCTTAAAGGGCTAGACAGTAAATATTTTAGACTTAGTGGGCCACTTACAAGTTTGTGACAAACTAAAAAAAAGTACTAAAAACATAAAAAATATTCTCAGTCCACAGACCATACAAAAAACAGTGGCAGGCCAGATTAGGCTACTGCGTCAGTTTACACCCTATTCTGCCTGCAGCCTATTTAAAGCACTGCCCCTTTCACCCACATGCTCGAAGAAGTCTGTCTTCTTCAGTGATCTGTCCATTTCCAACTACTCCACCCACCCAAGACACTACCATCTCTCCACTGGACCAGTTTAATAACTTCCTGTCTGGTTGCTCCCTACACAGCAGTCATCTTTAAAAAACCCAATCCCGCCTTAGCTGGTTTGGCTCAGTGGACAGAGCTTCAGCCTGCGGACGGAAGGGTTCCGGGTTCGATTCCCGTTAAGGACATATGCCCAGGTTGTGGGCTTGATCCCCGGTAGGGGGCCTGCAGGAGGCAGCCAATCAATGATTCTCTCATCATTGATGTTTCTATCTCTCTCCCTGATTAAAAAAATAATAAAAATTAAAAAATAAATAAACAACCCAATCCCATTGGTCATTACCATTAGAGTATTTATCTCCCCCCTACCCCCAGTCCCAACAGAACCTCTCTGATTACACTTCACACCACTCTCCCTCAGATGTGCCAAGTTCATTCCCATCTTAGGACCTTTTTCTAGCAGCTAAATTACACTTTACCACCAACCCATCCCCAACACCTTTTTGCTTCTCAGCACTTGCCACAAACAGAAAACACCCCCTCCATGTTGTTTAAAGTCTGACTGCAACAGCCAATGTGCCACACAAGAGGGTAGAGACCATCTACTTTCCCCCCATCACCCTCCTCTAATAGCTAGAACACAGAATCTGGTATGCAGTGAGTGCACAGTACACAGGAACCAATTATTAATTACGTACATACACAAGATGTCTTGTGCAGGGTCACAAAAGAAAACCAAGTCTCAAATCCAGGTGTTCTGGCACCCAAGCCCAGGGATCTTACCTCTCAGCCTCAGCCTTACCTATTTCCTCCTGTGGCCCGGAGTTTGATGTGAAGAGCAGTGATGCCCAGCTCCTTGCACCTCTGGGCCACATCCTGGGCAGCCAACATGGCAGCATACGGAGAGGACTCATCTCGGTCAGCCTTCACCTTCATCCCACCAGTCACACGGCAGATGGTTTCCCTGGGGACAAAAAGCACAGGGTCATTTCTTTCTCATCCAACAAGGACTCAGAGTGTCATGTCCTAATGAGTCAAGAGCGCCACAGCTGGGGACAGCAGAGGATGGAGGTCATGCATGCTAGGCTTTGGGAAGGCCGTGAGGGCTTTCATGGGCAGTCTCAAGTCCCACAATAGCTAAACTCTGTATTATACTATATACTGACTTACTTTTGCATTTCATTCTCCCTATTGAGGTGGGCACTATTAACCTCATTTTACATACGCAGAAACCAAACTCAGAATTTGAGTTCACAAATCACAAAAATTTGCTAATGGCAGCCAGAACCTGTACCCAGGGCTCCCTTTCAGTCCACCCCTGTCTTTACCCAGAGACTGAGGATTCAATGACCACCACACTGTAAGGCCATAAACAAAGCATCTCCTCTCTTCTAGCTCCAGTGCCTGGGAAATTACCAACCAAGCACGCTTCCTTATCTGAACATTCTTTTTTTTTTTTAAATATATTTTTTTATTGATTTTTTTACAGAGAGGAAGGGAGAGGGATAGAGAGTTAGAAACATCAATCAGTTGCCTCCTGCACACTCCCTACTGGGTATGTGCCCGCAACCAAGGTACATGCCCTTGACCGGAATCGAACCTGGGACCCTTGAGTCCACAGGCCAACGCTCTATCCATTGCGCCAAACCGGTTAGGGCTGAACATTCTTTTTAAAGTTATTTTAAGAAACCCCCTTAAAGTGCCACCCAGTTCCAGGTCATGTCTTCTCCCAACCCCTTGCTTATTATTAGTTGGGTCCTGCACCTCTCCACCCAGATACTCACTTGCCAGAAAGATCCGTGACATGGACGAAAGTGTCATTGAAGGATGCAAAGATGTGGCAGACACCAAATACATTTTCTCCTTCAGCCACCTGAGGCCCGAGGCTGATGACCTGTTCTTCCTTCTTTTCCTTCCCCTTGCGAGGTGCCATTTCTGAAAGAAAATCCAAAGAATCCTCAAGTTAACAGAACCCTTTTCCCCTGGCTATTATGTCCCTGGGTTCAAAAAGCTCCTAGCATTTACTTATTCTTTTGGTCTACAAAGTTAATACATAAAAAAGCGCCATCCTGTTTTACTGGTCTAGTAACTGCACTGCGGAGGTAGTGCCAATACTAATCCTTATCGAGGTGGCCTAGGGGGTAATGAATGGCACATGCCAGGCACCTTTCGGTGTGGACCAGAGTCTCCGTGGACGTTCTGCACAGGATCAAAGGTCCTGCAAGGGGCCCTGGGGAGGCTGTGAACACTCTGGCAACAGGATTCCCAGGTGCGTCTTCTTAGCCGGAAACCCAGTGCGGCCGCTCCCCACCGGCCCTGTCAAAACTTGAGTCCCCCCCACCTCTGTTTTTAGGGTTAACAGGCAGGTGCTCAGCCAACACTGGCGTGCAGTCCTAACCCAGGGGTGGGCAACCTTTTTGAGTGCGTGCCAAAACCAGCAAAATCTGACTCAAAATTCTTCTGTGTGCCAACCCTAATTGTTTGAGAACATGTTACGCCTACTTGATATCTCTTAAGGTGTACGTATGTGAAGAACCTTGAAGAAATAATTCATTTGAGCGACAAAAACACAGTATATGATGATGAAAAATACATTTATTTTTTAATGTATACATGTACACTGGTAGTCCGACAGAAAACTTTATGACTCCGTTTGATATTATCAGTGGGACTTTTGCTGCTGCATCACTGATGACAGAGATTTTACATCAGGTTTGTATTTCGTGACCTTCAGAGATATGCACGAGCTACTACTTTCATCCTTCAGGCTACTCCTATTACGAGACTTAACAAAACTCATCACTGAGAACAAAGATTCACAAGCGTATGTGGATGAAACCAAAACACTGGTCGGATCTAGGAAGGCAGGGAGAGTTAAGGCAGAGGCATAGAAATTGCTCTTCCCCTCTCTCCTCAATCCATGTCTATGGTCTTTTAAGATAACTTGTTACGTAAAATTATTTATCTAAGATGCACCTACACTGAATTTATCTGAAAAATAAAAAAGTCGATATTAAGAAAAAAATTGTAAATGGAAAATTATGAGGGCTTCGCGTGCCAGCAAAAGTCACTGGCGTGCTGTTTGGCACGCGTGCCAGGGGTTGCCCACCCGTGCCCTAACCCCAATTTCTGGCTTTCAGAGGCCTTGCCCTGAGCGCCCAGAACTTGCAACGTGCCCGACTTAGCCATCCCCAGCCTTAGCAACACCCATCACAGGGCGGTTTTCCCAGCATCCCCTCTTTAAATCCTCACTACAACCCCGTGGGATCAGCGCGACAATTACTCCTATTTTCCAGACAGTTAACAAGTTACAGTTGAGGCGCCTGGCCTGCGACCGCCCAGAAAGAAGCTGGCGGGGTCAAGGCGGGAGCCCACATCAGACTAGAATCCCCGCTCCTTCCCAACCACGCCGCGCGGTCGCTTAAACGTAGCAGTGGTCATATGCGGGGCCAAGGCCTTGAACGCGGGACCCGCACGCACCCTCACGTCACCGGCTCCCCTCTGAAGCAAGACCTCCGCTCCCCAAGACGAGGCGAGAACCTGTGTCTGGGGTCGGCCGGTCGCGTTCTTCTCGCCCGAAACCTGGCCCGGCTTCCGCGGAAAGGCCCCGGCCGCGCGCCCCGGGCCCCGCTGGACCCCCTTGCCACAGGATGCCACCAGATTGTCCTTGCCCAGGCCTCTTACCTGCGTGTCTCGTCCAGACTCCGCCACCGGAAAGAGAGATGGGAGGGGGCGGGACTACAGGTCACGTTAGCGTCCCCGGAAGTGTACGTCTGAGGTCACCGGGCGAGGCCTTCCGGAAGACACCGCCTTCAGCGTTCCAAAGGAGATTAAGACGCGCCCGCGAAAAGACGGTTTACTTAAGCGAGTTCCAAAGGAGGTAAGGGGTTGGGTGTAGCCGGCAGCGGGCCGGTCTCAGACTGCACCATGCAGCCACATCTGCCGAGAGAGGCAGGCCTGTGTTTTAAGATGGCAGTCACCCCGGCTAGAAGACTTCCGCCGTTCTGACCCCGGGCCTGGTCAGCCGGGAGGTGCAGCGCACCTAGTGGCGCGGAGGGGAACAACAAAAATAAAACGGGCAATGAAGGGATTAAGCAAAAACAAGCAACAAAAAAAACTCATAGACAAAAGTTTGGTGATTGCCAGAGGAAAAGGGCGGGGGGAGAGGGGGAGATGGAAGAGGGCTGAGGGGGAATAAATGGTGGCAGAAAGAGACTTGAAAGTGCACGATGCAGTATGCAGGTGATGTTATAGAGTTGTATACTGGAAATCTATATGGTTTTATTAACCAATGTCACTCTAATAAATTCAATTAAAAATTGAAAAACAGCCCTAGCTGGTTTGGCTCAGTGGATAGAGCGTCAGCCTGCGGACTGAAGGGTCCCAGGTTTGATTCTGGTCAAGAGCACACGTCCAGGTTGCAGGCTCATCCCCAGGAGGGGGCGTGCAGAAGGCAGCCTATCAATGATTCTCTCTCATCATTGATGTTTCTATCTCTCTCTCTCTCCCTATCCCTTTCTCTCTGAAATCAATAAAAAATATATTTAAAGACAATTAAAAAACAGGCAATCAGAGTTTGGCGTACTATGTACTGGGCACAATAAGAATAAATTGTCCAGAGTCAGGGGGCCGGGAGGACATCAAATGGCTGTCCAAGGAGAGCTTCAAGTTCAGTTCAAACTTGTATTGGTTGATGATGGTGGGACAGGAAAAACTACACTCGTGAAACCTCATCTGACTGATGAATTTGAGAAGTATGTAGCTACCTTGGGAGCTGAGGTCCATTCCCTCCTGTTCCACACCAACAGAGGGCCTATTAAGTTCAGTGTATGGGATACAGCTGGTTAGGAGAAACTTGGTGGACAAAGAGATGACTATTACATCCAGTCCAGTGTGCCATTATAATCTTTGCTGTAACTTCCAGAGTTACTTACAAGAGTGCCTAACTGGCATAGAAATCTGATAGGAATGTGTGGAAACATCCACATCATGTTGTGAGGCAACCAAGTAGATGTTAAGGCAGTGGTTCTCAACCTTCCTAATGCTGCGACCCTTTAATACAGTTCCTCATGTTGTGGTGACCCCCAATTTTATTGTTACAAATTGAACATAATTAAAGCATAGTGATTAATCACAAAAACAATATGTAATTATATATGTGTTTTCTGATGGTCTTAGGTGACCCCTGTGAAAGGGTCGTTCGACCCCCAAAGGGGTCGCGATGCACAGGTTGAGAACTGCTGTGCTAAGGCGAAATCAGTTGTCTTCCACTGAAAGAAGAATCTTCATTAGTACGACATTTCTGCCCAAAAAATACAACTATTCCTTTTTATTTAGAATCAGAATAAAGTTGTATTTCAAATATCTAAAAGAAAAAATAAATTATTCAGTGCTTGTTATTGTATTCCAACCTGGGATAAGTGATTTATATGCATTGCTTCATTTACTCCTCACAGCATGATCAAATAGATACTGTTTTGGTTTCCCACTTATAGATAAGGAATTTTAACTGAGATTGCACATTCATGACCGATTTGGTATTCTGACTTCAAAGCCTATACGTTTAATAGCTACTTCCATATATCCCTCTAATAACACTATTGAAGGACCTTAAAAGATTAGAAAAATGTACAGATGAAGATATGTGGAAGGGCTAAGAAGTAGGTTATATATATTTGTGTGTGTATGTATATGTGTGCATGTACATATATATGTATAGGTGAATATGTATGTATAGGATATACACCTATACATATATATAAAGCCCATGTAATGGACTTAATGAACAAAATGAGTGATTATGCAGAATAGCATATAGCCTTTTGTGCACTGGAATCAATACCACTGAACAACTTCAGCTCAATTTAAGGAAGAACTTATTTTTAAAAATGTAGCACCCCCTTTGTCCTTTACAAAAGTAATTAAGCACAGAACACCCATAAAATACAACATGCAGAATGGCAAACAAAAAAGAACAAAGAAATGACAGTCTTGCCCACCACTATTAACAGCTTGGTGTATGTCCTTCTCAAACAGCATCTATGCATAGAAAAGACACTTTATTTTTTAAGAAAAGAAAATAATTGTAGCAATATTTTTCCTTGATGGTTTAAAAAAAATCCATGCTCATTATAAACAATACACATAATACAGAAAAGAATGTGAAAAAGATAAAAGTCATCTCTATATTTTTTCTTCTAGAGAGACCACCATTATCAAATTGGAACATCAATCCAGAAATAACTTTCTATACTTACATCTATTCCTATATTTTAATTTGTAGTATACAATTTTTTTGTAATATACAATCTTACATAAATGAAATTGTATTCTATATGCTACTTGGTAACTTTTTTTTCATCCAACATTATGGACATCTTCCCATAACAACTATTAGAGACCTGCAACATTTTAAACAAATATTTTAAATTTTATTATTTTGAATATTAAATGCATTCACAAAAATAAAAAACTGCAAAGTTACCAAAAAGTATACAAACAAACAAACAAAAACCCTCCATTGCAGCTCTGTCCCCAGCAACCCAATCCTCTTCCTTATCAGCAAACAGAATATCTGTATTGCATGATATTCTTTTGTATAGCAGTAGCACTACTTTTTTTAACCAGTTCTCTATTGTTAGATATTTTGGTTATTTCCAGAATTTGCAAATATGACAAAACTGTCAAGAACAACCTGTGCTATTTTTTCCTCAGGGTAAATTGCCAAAAGTTGAAAGGCATAGGTATTTTACATATAGATACATGTTGCTAAACTGCCCTCCAGAAAGTTCATGTCAATTTTTATTTCTGCTAAACTGAAAATATCTCCTTGTTGTATTTCTTTCATGGTTAGTAAGCTCAGCCGTCTCTTTATGGATTGTTTTGAGCATTTGCATCTCTTCTGTGAATTGTCTATTTTTATTCTTTGAAAAAGAAGGCTTTTTGTGCTCAAGTAGTGAGTTCCCCAATAGAGGAGGTATGTTAGCAGAGACTGGAGTCTTGTGAGGGGATTCCAGATCTCTCAGCCTCAGCAAGGAAAGGCCTGGTGAAATGAGCACAGCTTAATCTTATGGCTGAAGGCAATCCACACAATTCCCTTAGAACAAATTTCTCCACATGCAAGTCTTATCTTCATCCCAGAAACCATTAAAGTCACTGCTTTCAAACTCCACTTTGATTATTTAATCAACATGTTTATTATTTCTACAAATAGTTATTAGTTGTGGGTCCTCAGGAAAAAATTGTCACTTCTCTGAGCCTTAGTTTTCTCATCTGTAAAATGGGATAATAACAGAATCTTTTAAAATGTATATTGAAACATATATCTTTACTGGGTATTTACTCAGTGTTAAGCTCTGAGATGCATTTAAACTAAGACTTGAAAACAGAATAGGAATTAGCTAAATGAAGGGGGAAAGAATGGCCTAGGCAGGAAAAATAGTAAATGCAAAGGTCCTGGAGTGGGAAAGCACTTGGAGAGTTCAAGGAAATCAAAACATGGCCAGTACCGTGGGGGTACTGTGTGAGCGGGAAGAGGGATGGAAGGTCAGGCTGGAGGAATGGTGGGAGCCACTTTCTGCAGGGTCTTACTTCCCTGTTGTCCTGTCTGTTTTCCCCATTCCATCCCATCCCATGCATTATCAACACTGAGTACAGGAAATGTATTTACAATCACCTCTCATTGTTGTTTTTTAAAGTATATTTTTATTGATTTCAGAGAGAAAGGGAGAGGGAGAGAGAAACATCAGTGATGAGAATCATTGATGGGCTGCCTCCTGCACACTCCCCACTGAGGATCGAGCCAGCACCCCGGGCATGTGCCCTGACTGGGAATTGAACTGTGACCTCCTGGTTCAGAGGTTGACACTCAACCACTGAACCATGCAGGTCAGGCACCTCTCATAGTTTATTCATTCATTTAACATATTCTTATTGACCATAGGAATGACTGGCCGAGATGGGCTTGGGGACAGGATCATTAGAGAAGAGCAGGTCAAGTGACCAGGGACCAGATGCTAGCAACGTCATCCATGTGAATATTGAAATGACCAAGAACTAAAACAGGAACAAACCAATTGAGAGTGACTTTGAGTCCAGGGTAGAGCCCTCAAAGGTGGGAGGGTGTGACCCAGGGATTGGTAGATGTCTGTGCTGAGGTGGAGTAATGAGTGCTACGGTATAGCAACAAGATTCAAAAGGAGTGTCTCCCAGGGAGATGGGAGGCAGAATGGCCTGAAAGTGACAATGAGGAGTAGAAAGGACAACATGCTCACATCCTGAGGCTTCTCCCTCTCCTCTCCCACCTCTTCTCACTTCCACAGGCTGTGGAAGAAAAAGGGGAAGCCTGGGAGGCCTGAGGGAGAATGTAGCATCCTCAGGGGACAGCCAGGTTTCCTAGGACAAGACGGAAATCATCGAGAAAACGCTGGGATGGAGGAGGTTCCTCTCCAGATGTTCTGGAATTCCTGAGGGTGGCAGAAGGCTCTGAGGCCTTGGGGAGGAATCCGAGGGAGGGACTGAGGGGCTGCCAGGCCCCTAGGAACCAGAGAGTTGGAGACAAGGGAGGCCCTGGGTGCAGGGCAGGCAGATGGAGGCAGCATGGGATGAGTGACTGACACTGTAGTTGCTCAGTGAATAATAGTAGCCATGATAGTGCTCACATTAATTGCATATTTACAACATGCTGGACCCTGTACTGAGTCGTGTGCATCATCTCACTGAATGCCCTCACTAACCCTATGAGTTAGAAATTTTATTGCCCTCATTTTATAACTGAGGAAATAAGTTAGTGATCAACAGCCATACGTGGTGGTGCTGGGACCGGAGCCCAGGTAATCTGACTCCA